GCTACTAGACCCCCGGTATAAGCAGAAAGTGGCGGAAATGTTACCGAATTACAACAAGTATGAAAGGATGCAGCATTTGCAAAATAAATTGAAAAGTATGCTTTACACAGCGTATAAGGGTGATGTCACAGCACAGCGGGAATCTAACAGGGGGAGAGGTGGAAGTCATCCTCCTCCTCCCATGACCACGCCAGCAAGGACAGGACGCTTTAGAGACGTGTTGTTGATGGAGGACATGCGGACCTTTTTAAGTCCTACGCATCGCCACAGCCCTTCGGGATCCACCCTCAGAGAGCGACTCGACCGACAGGTAGCAGACTACCTCGCCTTAACTGCAGATATCGACACTCTGAGGAGCAATGAACCCCTTCACTACTGGGTGTGCAGGCTTGACCTGTGGCCTGAGCTATCCCAATTTGCGATAGAACTTCTGGCCTGCCCAGCTTCAAGTGTCCTGTCAGAAAGGACCTTCAGTGCAGCAGGAGGTATTGTCACTGAGAAGAGAAGTCGCCTAGGTCAAAAAAGTCTAGATTACCTCACCTTTATTAAGATGAATGAGGGATGGATCCCGACGGGACTGACAGTGGGTGATATATTCGACTAACAAAGGCCTGATGAGATGAGCTGTCTTGGGCTAAAAATGGTCCACACGCTGCTGTATTTTAGCTCTGAATGCCGGTTGACTTGCGTGACTTATCTGCCACCAACTAGGGTTCAAGCCGCAATGTTTTAGGGCAGTGCTCCCCAACCTTTTTATCGCCGAGGACGGTAAACGTTTGATAATTTTTCCGTGGCCCGGTTGTTTTGATTTAATAATTTTAATTTAATTGTATTTAAACATGCCTTCAAAATAAAATACAGCTACACCAAAAAATGAATATAAAGTGATTTATTTTATTTAACTCACTAGAATGCCAAATCAATGAGAACCCTGAGCTTGTTTCTTCGCAACGAGACGGTTCCATCTGGGGTAATAGGAGACAATGACACCCGAAGTGTGTTGCTTATGTCCAGTTTATTCCGCTGTTTTGTTTTGGTTGCTGTCACTGCAGAAAACCCCGCTTCACACAGATAGGTTGTCGGAAATGGCAATAGGGATTTAAGTGCTGTGGTGGCAATCTCAGGGTATTCTGCCATGACTTTAATCCAGAACAACGGCAGAGTTGTTGTCTCGAACATAGTTTTAAGGCCACCGTCATTTGCAATCTCCAGCAGTTGTTCTTCTTCTTGCATAGACATGCTAGATTCGCCTGATTTGTTGGCAAATGGGTCGCGGATCCATTCCTTACCAGTTCGTGGGTCTTTTGTGGTTGGGAAGTAGCACTCAAACTCTTTTAAAAGCAAAGACAGGTGATCGTGCACCAACTGGCAGAATGAATGTTCAAGCTCAGTCTCGCCTAAAATCCCCGCTAATGTCTGAAACATGTCCAAAATGCCTCTGTTCACGTGCCATCCCCACAACTCCAATTTGGCTTTAAATGCAGCTACTTTGTCTGACAACTTGAAAACAGTTGTCATTTTCCCCTGAAGGCCCAGATTAAGTTCGGCCAATGGCGTGGGATTTGCCTTACGGCCAATCAGGAAGCGGGAGGACCCAGGAGGAGAATCAGTGTAACAATAGGGAATTTTCATTCGCTATTGTCACACAATGGGCGGGCTCGGGAGGGCGCAATGCTCTGCGCCTCGGCCGCCACAGTGAAATTAAAGTTCCTCGGGCGGCCCGGTACCGTTTGATCGACGTACTGGTCTGCAGCCCGGGGGTTGGGCAACACTGTTTTAGGGCACTTTCTGCCTGGGAAACAAACATCAATTCTTCTGGCCGCTGCTACAGCAGCGGCTGCAACAATACCTAATTTTTCAGGCATGTGTACATGCCTAATTTTTCGGGCCTCTGGTACTGCACTGTGGTTTCAAAAACCAAACCAAAAAAAAGGCACGTAACAGGGATTAAACTGATAAGAATACTACTACTTAACACACCTTTTAATAATGCAGAGAGAGGCAACGCAGAGAGAGGAGTCTGAAGAAGAAGAGTCAGAGGAGGAAGGTGGCTTTGAGGAGGTGGAAGACCAAATGCAGCAGGCATCCCAGGGGGCTTGTTGTCACCTTTCGGGGACCCTTGGTGTTGTACGTGGCTGGGTGGAGGAAGAGACCTTCAATGACATCAGTGAGGACAAGGAACGGGACATGGCTAGCTTGGTATCCAACCTTGTGCAAATGGGGAGTTTGCGGTTGTGCAAATGGACTGTTTGCGGTTGTTTGCGGTGCGTTAAACGGGGAGTTTGGTCTGTCACTGTGAAGCGGGCGTAACCCTGATCGATACAACATCATACAGTAGGTCCCCCCCTCATTATTTTTATGGCCCCCACCCACCGCTCACGGGTGGGGGCGGGCGGGAGGACAGTAGGTCCCCCCCCCATTGAGATTTATGGCCCCCACCCACCGTGCAGGGGTGGGGGCTGGGGGGGAGGACAGTAGGTCCCCCCTTATCCTTATTTACTGAATATTCCCCTGTATAACAATGTTTGGCATTTAGTGAATATTCCCTATTCTGCTCTGTGTCAGTGTGTATCAGGGGCTCTGAGGACAGGTGTCAATCCATATCTGCCAAGTGACCCTATGTAGGGGGAACAGTCTCTATTCTGCTCTGTGTCAGTGTGTATCAGGGGCTTTGAGGACAGGTGTCAATCCATATCTGCCAAGTGACCCTATGTGGGGGGAACAGTCTCTATTCTGCTCTGTGTCAGTGTGTATCATGGTCTCTGAGGACAGGTGTCAATCCATACGTCAAGGTGTCAATATGTCATATGTCAGGTGTCAATCCATATCCATTGTGATTTAGAAATGTTAGGTGATTTATGCCCTTTATGGATTAAGACCAGACTCTGCATCAACTGTGTAATTTTCCATGGGAGTTTTGCCATGGATCCCCCTCCGGCATGCCACAGTCCAGCTGTTAGTCCCCTTGAAACAACGTTTCCATCACTATTGTGGCCAGAAAGAGTCCCTGTGTGTTTTAAAATTCGCCTGACCATTGAATTCTATGGCGGTTCGCCGGTTCGCGAACATTTGCGGAAGTTCGCGTTCGCCGTTCGCGAAACGAAAATTTCGTGTTCGCGACATCACTAGTCGTGAGCCTC